GAGGGGTGGGTAGGTGGGGAAATGCACCCAAGGCTCTAGGTGTAGGGGCACACGTATGTGTAACTGTGTGCGTTCTCTGCCACATCCTCTTGGTCAGTGCTGGACTTTCCAAGTGACTGAGAAATGGAAGTAATTGCCGCTGTTGCTGGGAAAACAGCGCCAGTAATGCCTTCTCTCTTCTTTCTCTTGTTCCGTCTCCTTTCTTTACTTTTTTCTGCTTTGTTTTCTCCTATCTCTGCCAGCCTCCACTTTTATAAAGAATTTAAGATGGCCTTAAAAAATAGTTACATGTATTTAAGTTAAATCTGAAAAAACAGTTCTGAAATTATGCAGAGAAAAGGGGAAGATCATTGTCCCGGAAGCCAACAGTGAGGTGGCTGTGGGCATCAAGCGCTGAATTTGACTGAGCTTCCTGGCAGCCAATGCAAAGGGGTGTGTGCAGTGGTTTCTGATGTCCTTGCTGTTCCATCAGAAGAAAGTTAATGATACAGCAGGGGGAAAACTTTTTTTCTGATACTGAATTACAGGAGGAATTGACAAAGAATCTGAATGTTCTAAGGGGTAGTGTCTCCAGAGAGTTTTTTAGAAAATACTGTTTGTATTATCCTTGTATTGCCTCTAACAAATGTTGAATTCTCAATACTCCCTCTCAGACAAGTGAAGGCACTTCTCTGAGGGCTTTAGCTAATGTTGAGAAGGGGAGGGAAGGAGAGGGGGTGAGGTTAGTACAACACTTGGAGCTGTTGTTTAAATACTTCCCAGTTAGTTCTGGAGAGCTGTGGCTTCTGTCATGCTGCTGGACCATACATTCACTCATTCATTCAATGAGCACTTAAGGGGCTGGAGAGACATTCTGTGTTCTGTGTACTCAAGGCAACCTGGAGGGAGACAGACAAACATGATATGTGGAAAGAAGTACGACATTAGTGACCTGTGCAAAATGACACTAAGTATAGAATCCTAGAAAAGAGAATGCTTATTTCTTTGTAGGTGTGTAGGGCCAGCAATGGCTTACTGATGAGGTGATATTTGAGTTGGGTCTTGTAGGCAATTGTAGGAGCTCTCTGAGCAAATGAGATGGGCCCTCCAGAGAGAGGCAGAGGCAGGACAGTGCCTGGAACATATGAGGAGTAGTCAGTGCAGTAGTAGTCCAGAGAATCCATGAGATTTAACAGATTTCTGTTGCCCTTAAAAATCACAAGAGGCTCAACCAGACGGGCCATCCAGTAATAGAGTCTTAGGGGAACAATTAAACATGAAGATGAAGGCATCTCTTGGATCATGCAAGAGCAGAGTAAGAACTGTGAAATCCCACCAAAGAAGAGGCTGGGCTGTGGGCAAGATGGTGATGGCTCTGGCTTCTGAGATGCCTGCCTGGCTTCTGAGTTCCCTTGTCCTCCAAGCCAGATTTCTTAAGGGAGATGCGCTTTACCTTCTGGAAGTCCTGGTGGTTGATGAATTGGAATTTTGGGCCTCCCACAGCAGGCAACATACCGGTGGAAGGTTTCATGTCTGGAAAAGGTGATCCAAACCCAGTTGTTGGAGAGCCTGGACAAACTGTTGCATACTGACTCAGCGAAATCAAATAGTAATTTCCATCTGGAAATTACATACATTAAGAAGCAGGATGTCCCCATGGCCACCCTTTCGGTAATTCTCTTATACTTAGGCTGGCTCTGCCTCCATGGGGGAATGGGGGCTTTCCTGCAGATCTGACTGCCCAGCCATGGCAGGTAAGGGAGGCTGGAGGTAGAAAAGGGGCAGGGCTAGGAGAGAGTGGAGGAGGACACCAGGGTGCCGAATCTTGGCTAAGATGGTGCTAGGCCCTATGAAAGATCACTTTTTCACTGTTCAGCCTCTGTGCAAACCCATTAGTGTCAAAGTCCAGCCTGTCTACTTTCCCACCTTTCCTTTTATACTTCCACCAGCTCCAGGTAGTACATTCCTACTGGTCCTAGGTCCTTGCCACCCCCCATACACACCCTTTCTTTAGCTGTTCTTAGCCTGGGAGTGAGGATTGCTCAGCTCCAGGTTAGGTACAGCCTGCCCCCAGAAATCTGCCCTGACAACCCCCACCCATGGAAACTAGCTTCTTGGATAGAGCTCCTGGGGCCATCTGCCTTTTCATTTAGGATTTGTGGGTGCAGGTCAAAGAGTGTGTCTGCTCTTACATACCATCTTGAATAAATAGGGCTTAGGAAGGGTAGAATGACCTATGCCAGGCCTCCATTTGGTGTTTAAGGCATAAAAGGAGGTAGAGAACAGGGACTGTCTCTCAGGACCCAGAGACTTTAGAAGATGCCCTACAGAGACCCTTGTAGAGGCATTTTGACCTCCCATCTCTGCACACAGCGATGCTCCAGAGGAACTGCTTCCAGCAGGTTGAACTTTCAAATTCGTTGTTAGCGAATCAGGAGGCCAATGTCATGGCCAGGTCCCATTCTACAGGGATGAAGTCCAGACAGTCACCTTTCCCCAGCAGTTCCTTCCTGTATAGGAGGAAGGCAGTGTTTTTCAAACATTGCTGGTTGTAAATTATAGCAAGAAATACAGTTTCATCTCTACCTAGTACACATATACTAGGTAGATGAGACAGGGTCTTGGTATGTGAGACAGGATCTTGCCTGGAACTCACTGTGTTGGCCTTGAACTCACAGCAGTCCTCTTGCCTCAGTCTTCTAAGTGCTGGGTATCATGCCACCATACCCAGATTGTTCTGTTTCATTCTAATTTTGTTTTTAACAATTGTTAGATTAGCAGATTTATCTTACTACCTGTGAGGGTCAGGACCCACAATATGAAAATCAGTTGGGTGATTATCAAGATGTTAGAGTCAGACAGGTCCAGATTTGAATACTGGTTCTGGCACCTAGAAACTGTGACTTTTGGTAACTCACGGTCCCTCTACAATAGGTATCTCAGTTTCTTTGAGTGTAAATGAAGATAACAGAACTTGCTTCATAGGTGACTGTGGGATTGAAGTGGGAGAACACAGGCAAACTTCCTGGCCCAGCAGGAGTGCCTGAGAAGAGGAAGCTTGATGTGCTTGCGAAGATTATGTTAGTTCTCGGACCGCTGGCAGGGCCAGGAGGAGCAGTGGGACTCGTGCTTCCTGGGGAGTGGCACAAGAAGAGACTTTGCAGAGGACAAGGTGTTAAAGAAGGTGACAGGATGACTGGGATGAACTGCTGACATTTTCTCATCCACAAAGGATAGACTTGTGCTCAAGGATTCTTTTTTTTTTTTTTTTTTTTTTTTAGCTAGACTTAGAGCTAAAAATGTTAGACACCCTTGCTTTTTGCATTTAGGTCTCTAATCCACCTGGGATTGATTTTTGTGTCTGGTGTAAAGATCCAATTTCTTTTTTCCCCTGTTTCTGAATGGATAACCAGTTACCCCCGCACTGTTTATTAAAGAGTCCATCCTTTCCTGCTGATTTGTACATCGCCTCTCTCATATATCAAGGTTCCATATGTGCACAGATCAGTTTTTGGCCTCAATTCTGTTGCAGTGGTCTATTTATCTGTTCCTGTGCCAATACCACACTGTCTTAATTACTGTGGCTTTATAGTGATTGCTGATGTAGGGAGGCTTGTCTCTCTAGGCTTGTTCTTCTCCCTTAGAAGTCTCTGGGCTCACTTGGGCCTGGACTCTATGTGGTTCAGAATCAGCCACTGCTTGAAGATGATTGATGAGCCTGCGAGCTGTGGACAAGCTGTCCTCAGTGAGCAGCATCTCAGGCACCTGGGCCCACAGCAGCTCCTGTGCTCACTGCGGCTGTCAACCCCAGTTGGTACTGAAGCTGTGCGGGAAACACTTTCTAACTGATTTGCAGAGAAAAGGACTGAGGATGGGCCTGAGCCTGAGGTCCTCCTGCCTGCCGCTTGTCATGGCTCCTTTGGTTTCCTCTAGTGGCTCGGTCCTCTTCATCTTATGCAGGATGCCCACAAACCATTTTAGAAGACTGCTTGCTTCCCTGTCCTTGCCATCCAAGGACATATCCCTGGCAGACAGGAGAGTTCCTCATTGGCAGTTCCAAGGCCCCAAAACACTGCCCACTCCAAAGCCTAAAATTCTTTGGCCTAAGTGTTTGCATGTGCTTTCTTTAAATGAAAATAGGATTGGAGGTTGGTGGGAGGAAGGGACATGCGCTGCTGTTTATAATTCTGTCTGTCCTTGAATGGGCAGACCCAGGTTGGGCTCTTTGCTACTTTCTCTGGAGACCATTTTGATAGTGGCTTGAATGGCAAGGAAATGACTCACTCCAAGTTCTGATTTCATGAAATGATGTGAAGAAAGGAGTGTGACTCGGGCCTATTCCTGTGGTTGGCCTGGATTTGGTAAAACAGATGTATACATGTGAGACTTTTCCATACACAGGTATTTACATGCTTCTAAAATTCAAAACCACTTGCCAAACTGTGACTCAGGTTGGCCCAATACCTTGGGTTTAGAGTAACCTACTCCCTTGACTGGGATTCAGTCTGGTTTACCATGGGCAAAATCCTTCTCTCTTTGGACTCTATTTTGCCCATCAGTGACATGAGAGTTTGGATTTTTAACCTTTGTTAAAAAATTCCTTTTCATGCTTATTCCTGTGATTCTGTCCTGTGGTGTGAGAATATGGAAACCAGAAGCTATTTCGTCCATCTTCTTGACAAGAAGGTTCTTACTTTCACCTTTCTTTGGTTACTGATATTTTCCTCCCCTGGTGAGGATGGTGGCTCTGGCTGGCTGGGATTGACTCAGGCGCTGTACAGACGACAAGCAAGCCAGGTTGGACATTTTGTGAAGCTGTGTGGACTCCTGTCCACCTCTTCATGTGGGGAGCATTGTCTGCTCTAGAAACTGTCTAGATCTGAATCTGCCCTTCCAACAGAGGGGCTTCATGACCTCTTGTAGGCTTTGACACAAGCTTGGATCCGACTGGAACATGGTGTTGCTTTTGATCATGGTGCATCAGACTATTGGTACTGAGGTGTTTCTATCTCCTCTTTCAGACCACTGAATACTCAGCCATGGCCTCGTTGGCTGGAGGGCTGGATGACATGAAGGCCAACCTGACCAGCCCCACCCCTGCTGACATTGGGAGCAGTGTACCAGGTCCACAGTCCTACCCCATTGTGACAGGTGAGGGGACCTGGGGCATAAGGGATTGAGGGGAAGAGAGGGAGAGAGAGCATGCATGCGTGGTGGGAGGAGTGGCTTCTTGGTACTTTTGGATGAGATTGGAAAAATTTCAGCAGAGGCTGAATCACGAAAGATAGGAAGCTCAGGCTGGTTATAGGCCAAGCAGCTGTCTTCCTGGGGGCCAGCGCCAGCCTCCTTGTCACTGTCAGGGTAAAGAGTTAAGTAGGGGAGCCCTGTGCTCTCATCAGTAGAACACTGTCCCAGCATACGTCAGGCCCTGGGTTTCCTCCCCAGCACTGTACCAAACAGCACAACAACAAACAACATGGGCTCTCCACTCACTGCTGGGTTTGATACTACCATTTACGAGCTGTGCAATTAATTATCTTGGGAAACCACATAACTACACATAATTCTTGATCTAGTTTTCTGAGCAGTAGGATGGGCCTAGTGATAGCACCCACTGCAAGTGTGGCTATGAGGATGAACAGGCTCACACCTCTAAGGTGCTTAGATTCTTGCCTAGCACATTGTTAACACCCAATATATGTGGCTGTTGTCACTACTCTCAGGGCCCTGTTATGTGGCTTGTCACACTTTTGCATGCTGCTGCAGCTGCCCTCCACCCACCACATCCTATGGCCCCTGCAGCCCTGGGTGCTATGGAACTCTAGGAACTGTGTGAACTGCCAGCCCCTAGAGAAGTCCACCTTGCCAGGCAGAAGGCTCTTAGACAAGCCACAAGCCCAAGCTGAAAGGATGTCCCTATATACTGGTGGGCAGAACACAGTAGGTAGTGACAGAGACAAGGTATTCTTGGCACACATAGGCTGTTGGTGCACCAGGGAGGCTGAGGGTTGTTCTTGGCTTAGAGAACATGAGGGATAGGGACAGATGCGAGAGGATCTGTCCTAGAGGCCTTTTAGATCTGTCCAACAAGCAGGGAGGCCAGCTCTGTGACCTGAGCTGACAGGTGACCCAGTCACTCTGGCCCTGTTTGACTCCTGTGTGGTGCCTAGACCTGCAAGTAGGGTCGCAACTGCTTCAGTCTGAGCCTCCGCACTGACCTATCACAGATGTTCCATGAAGTCCCCTCTGCTGATGTCACCAGCGATCATGACAGTACTTCTGATGAAACCTCATCTTACAGATATGGAAGCCAGTGCCTAGCTTGTAAATCACACAGCTAGTAAATGGCAGGTTCCAACTCAGCAGCAAGTGGAGAGCCCGTGCTGTTGGCTTGTTGTTGTGCTGTTTGGTACAATGCTGGGGGTGAGACCCAGGGCCGGGCATATACTGGGAAAGTGCTGTTCTAATGAGAGCTCAGGGCCCCTTTGCTTAAATCTGTACCCTGACAGTGATGATATTGAGCAATATAAGTGGTACCGTGGAGAGTTAGAGCCCGTCCTCAGTCTTCTAGACCTTAATATTTTCAAAGAACTACTGTTGCAAAGCGGAGAGCAGGAAGAAGTGTGGGCCATCTCATAACAGCAGTCATTGTTACTTCATTGAGTGCTTAGGCGCCAGATACCAGACATTCTGTTGAGGGAGCCCATTTTACCCTCAGAGGAACCTTGGGAGGTGGCACAGTCAAAATCAGGTCCATCTCATGGGTAAAGAAACTGGGACCTGGGGCAGGTAAGGTTTTGTTGTTTTGTTTTTTTTCCTGAGATCACAGCCAGTGTTCAGTGGTGCTGAGACTGAACACCAGGGGTTATGGGGCTGGCCATTCTGCTGCACAGATAAGCTGGGTGCCACCCCCAGTGCTGCCACTTCCTTCTGTCTTCCTTTGGACCCAGCTGAGTCTCAATTTTCCCATCTATAAAATGGTCCTGGTCTCTCAGCATCCTCATGATGATCCAATAAGATCCCTGAGGAGAATAGATGGCAGTGAGGACAGTATGTGACTGCACTGAGGTGCGTGGAACTTGGGTTTAGGCAGCTCAGCAGGAGGCTTTGCATCCATTCGTGTACTTGCCTGTGTAGATGGATAATGGCCCGTGGAGTGTGGAGGCTGCTGTGTACAGGAAAGCAGGTGGCCAGCTAGCAAGGCTCACCTCACCCACAGATAAGCGTAGTTGGGCCCACACAGGATTTTTAAACATTTTAATCCAACAATTTAACAGGTAAAAATCTGGATTTCTGGCTGCTTTTGAAAAGTCAGAATAGCCACAGGAATAGCCTTACTCCCCCAAGGCCATGGTAAGTTAGGGTTCAGGAGCTGCAGCCCCTCAGGGCAGGTCACCACACCTCTCAGCCAGTGGCTCTCTCACTTGTCTTGCAAACCCAACCTGATGAGGATCATGAGTTTACATCCTTGCTGTAAGAGTTCGTGCCCAGGGTCAGCTGGGCGGGCTCGCTCTCCTATGGTCTGCAGAGGCGTTCAGTACGGGCTCAGGTACCAAATTTAGGGGTGAACTGGGTTTCAGTTAAATCCTTAACCAAAGACCTGATTGTGTTTTAATTCTTCCACTTTCAATCACATTAAGGAGCCAGAAGAGAATGTAAATATCCCAGATTAAAGTCAGAATTGTGCTTAATCTTGAAATATTAGCAATACTGCAATCATCAATATAATTGATTTTTCAATATAATCATTAGCTTTCTTACAAGTAAATGATGGCATAATAAAAGGAAGGAGCCCTTTTATTATTATCAACAACAAAAATATGTTAACTACCTAGGAATAAATTTAACTTTAAAACTCTACTAAGAGACATAAAAGAATAAATGGAGAAATGTTGTTTGTTCTTAGACGTAATATCATAAAGATGTCAATTCCCCCTAAGTAATCTATTAATTCAAAGCACTCCCAAGTCAACCATCAAGGGATTTAAAAAAATACATCAAAATGATGCAAATACTAGATAAATAAATATCCTAGGACAGCTCTCAGAAAATTCTGGAATAAATGAGTAGAAACCAGCACATTTTAAAATGTACTGTAAAACTACAGTGACTAAAATTGTTGTTGAAATTAATGTTTCAGCATACAGAATTCAGAAATAGATCTAAATACTGTATGTGTAAGTATGTATAAATGCAGACTGTCTGGGGCTTACCTCCATCTTGGGCCAGGACTCAATAGTACAGTGCCTGACTGGCAAGTGTGAGGCTCTGAGTTCAATTCCTGGAAACCTTCTTCCCCAAAAAAACAAAATAAAACCTTACCTCTGTCTTTATATAACAGTAATAGATTTTGAGGCAGTTAACATGTTAGTTATCCCAATTTGATCACTATATGTTATATACATGTATCAAAATATCACAGCATACCATAAACATGTATAATTATGTGTCAATGAAAAATAAATGCCAGGAAGCTGGGTATGGTGGAGCACTTGGGAGGCTGATATGGGAGGATCACTGTAAATTCAAGGCTAGCCTGGGTAACAGTGAGTTCAAGGCCAGCCTGAACTACATAGCAAGACCTTGTCTTAAAAAATATAGAATAAAAAATAAATAGATTCCAGGTTAATCAAAACTTCAAATGAATAACGAAAAAAAAACCTAGGGGAAATTTTTTTGTAGAGAAGGCCTTTGAAAAACATCTCTTAGGGCTGGGGAGATAGCTCAGCATTCTAAGTGCCTGCCTGGCAAGCACAAGGACCCAGTTTGGTCCTCAGTACCACATGCTGTGCCGGTCCTGGAACCCTGGGCATACCGTGCAGGCCCTGAAACTGGGCATAGTGGTGCATGCTTATAATCCCAGCACTGGGGAGGCTGAGACAGGAGGATCACTATGATTCTGAATTGCATAGCAAGATCCTCTATCTAAATAAATAAATATGTCTCAAATTCAATATGTGTGTATATATATACATATATATCTTTGTATGTGTATAAAAATATTCAAAAGACAGCATAAAAATGTACAAAAGCAAAATACGGATAACAAAAAGTTAATTTCCTTAGTATAAAGAGGTTAATTTTGTATCTGTGTATTCAAAATGGTTAGGATAGATATATAGTTACATTCTCTTAATGAATAGAGGGATTTGTTCTAATAG